ACTACTACTGCCACTGCCACTGGCACATCCCTCTGACGCTACCACTACCATTACGGCTATTGCGACCGCCACGAGGACAGCAACAACTTTTGTTCTTTCTAGTATGCTTTCCTTCTAGAACCACCAGTACTAAGACGGTTAATACGACGACAACGATGACGACGACTACTACAGCTACAGTTACGACTATTGCTACTAATATAAATATTGCCACGTCTATTGCAACTGTTACTGATGCTGCAACTGCTCCAATTACTATGACCACTACCACTACCACTACTGCTACTGCTACTGCTACTTCTACTGCTACTGCTACTGCTACCGCCACCAACATGTCGCGCAAAAGTGAGGGTGAAAGTCCCCGCGCAAGGAAACCAATAATCCACGAAGGAACTTGATCAACGCTCATGTTTAGATGCTTTGTTGGGTTCGAAGTCCTAGTATCGGCGAGTCAGGAAGATGACATCATGGAACGCAAGAAGCTCCTGGAAGATGTTGGCAAAGATCCCAGCGAGGACAGCTGACCTCTTCCAAATGTCGCATCCGAAGCATCAGGTGTGTCAGCCAGCTGGACCCAACTAAGAGTTTGCTTGAGACCCCGTCGTTGTCTCTGGTCGAAGGAGAACACTGCTGCGGCTGAGGTTGAGGGGAGGTAATGTTTGCAGGACGTACACCCGGAATGGCAGAAAGGAGAGAAAGGTTATGTTACAGACAGCCTGTTCCTGCGATCTTGTCTTCCCTGTTTCCCTCCAGCTGACAGTCGTTCGAGCTTTGATGGAAAACGGTACAAGGGCTGCTTGCAGGGCCCATGCAGACGACATGACACGATCTGACACTCTCTGGCAGCCGTGGATCCCGCAGCTGCAGCCAGGCGGCGCGCGAAAACAGACTGAGCCATCCGAGCCTGCCTGCATCTCACACCTGCCTTGCCCAGAAGTGGCAACGTGCCGCTCCCCCGTCCGCAAGGCAAAGTTCCACCTGGCGCAAAACGGGTGCCGCTTGCATTCAAACGTTCAAAGCGTCAGTTCTGCAGCCGAATTCTGTCAGATGCTCGTGCATCCACGCAGGCCAAACACGCTGCTGAAGCTTACGAGTAGGAATGATTGAAGCAGCCGCGTGCGACAGAAAGGTGGGACGGGTCGGTTTCATAATCTTGCCTGCGTCAGGTGCAGCAGCTGCAGCATCAGCTGGTGGAGGCGCAGCGCGGGCCTGAGGAACCAAGGTGCGTGAAGAGGAACGAAGGTGCGAGAAGGTGCTGCGCATTAAAGAACCCGCCGTCTCTGAAAAACGGTACAAAGTCACAAGGTTTTTCCTGAAGCGCGCGTTTCGTCCGGGGAAAATGCTAGCTTTAGACAACCTGCGGCTTTTCTCGAGATTCTTGTGTGTACAAGCTTGAAGGATTCAGGATCTAGGAGGAACAAGATGCTTAGGCGTGCGCGTTTCGGGCTTGCCTTTTGGCATCCTTTTGGCTTTGAGGTTTGGAGGGTGCAAGCTGTTCGGGCTTGCACTCTCTCGGGCATAGGGTTGTCAGGGTACAAGCTTGGCAGGCATACAAGATTTCGGGGCTCACACAGTTTCGGAGGTTCGATGTCGGAGGCTTTCTGGAATTTACCGAAGACCGAGTGTTGAGGGCTTAGGATTGAGGATTTGGGCTTGCCGAGTTACAGAGTGTGGGTTAGGGTTGAGAACTTTGTGCTTGCAAAGTTTGGGCAGTGCGGGTTGGACTCGAGGCATTTGGGCTGGCAGAGTGTGGGATGGGGTTGAGGCGTTGCTGTCAAGCACAAAACGTATATAATGACACCCCCAACCCCTAAAGACCCACGACACTGAAACCACATCAAGGTCACACAAGCATCATGCCGAATCACAAGTTTTATGGCATGGGGTCGCTTGCTGAAAGAAGTGGACATGTGAGTGTACTCAGGCGGCGCTTTGCTGCCGCAGCTGCTGGCACACCGCCGCCCCTGTCTTGTGCTAAGTGTGAAGGGGTGCCCGGTTCCCGGAAAGGGTGCCGTTGGGAACTGAGGCCTCCAGCTGTGGCCTGGGGGCCGCCACAGGTCAACGAACCTGCAGAGGCAGATGTTTTCGAGCATTCGGCAGTAGGAACAGTTCTTGCATTTGTGCACAAACGTGGAAGCCTGGTGCCGCACTGGATTGCCACCGAAAAGAGGCTCCGCAAAGAAGTCGAACCATCGAAAGCGCTGGTGCTTGTGTCTGGCGGGATCCACCCCTCCATAGCGGTGTGCCGAATACTGGCTTCGTAGGTGTTTGCCGAAGGCACCGTTGTGGGCACCTATGGCCTAGGGACTGGCAATGTGCTTTCCCGAATTAATGCTCTCTGGTCGCACGTTGGCATGATCGCAGTAACACGGAAGCTTTCCGGTAAACCAAGCTAAGCTAAGCCAACTTATTGAAAGAAGATGCTTCAGGCGTCTGGGCTGTGTGTTGGGTGGTTGTTGAGCACATGACATTGTTCGTTCTGCGCGATGCAAGTCTCTGGCACAGCACACGTGAGCTTTTGTGACAGGTCCTGGCTCCCTCGGACGTGGTCGTGGAGCGCCGGCGGCAGTTCGGGGACCGGCTGGTACGGCTCTGGGTGGAGGCACAAGGGGTCTGAGGGATCTACTCAAAGGGGACGGCACGGCATTCATACAGCCGTCTGGCTTTCCGATCTTCGACACAATTGTGCGAGCTCTGGCGGGGGTGAGTGCGAGCTAAGAGAAGCCTGAAACCGCAGGATGTGCCCTTCCGCGGTGGTGCCCGGGTGCATGCCATGGACACAACAAGTTTTGTTCGAAGCGTGGTCGGCCGCTCAAGATCTGGGAAGGCAAAGGCTCCGCATGCAACACAATTACCAACTCGGCCTGCTCAGGCGGAATTCTCCGACATGGACATTCAGGCTCTCGCTTTAGCGGCTGGAGCTTGGATCAACCCACACGCCAAACATTTCTCTGCCCTGAAGCTCATGTTTACGGGAAGCACTGCTCGTACTTCGTGTGCCGTCCGACCGGCTCGTGTCAGTGGTTTTAGAAGCCAACCTGTACAGCTTCTGGTGACGGCTCCATGATCCTGCCGTGGCTGATTAGAGAAATGCTGCACCTGCCATGAGATTGCTTGTCAGAGTCACTCAAGAGGATAATCCTGGTGCCAAGCCACGGCAGGATGGAGGGAGGGGTGCTCAGCTGGTACACCAATGAATTGATGCACGTGTCGTACTGCTGATGTGTTTCTATGCAAGTCACAAGCTTGCGTCGAAACTCTTGCACAGCACTAGGCATTCATCTGCTTTCTACTCCACTTGAGTCGAGGAGGCAGCCCATGGTTTCATGGAGGGACACGGCCATGGTGACACAGCACAGCAGCTGGAAAGAGGTGCGCTCATTGCACGTGCGTGTGGTTTCTGTGTTTTTCCCCACATCATTGTGGGGTTCTTACTTTTCTTTGGGCTGTGCCGCCCCATCCACCACCACCGCCCCCCGCCCCACGCCCACCTCCGCCCAGGCCGCCCCACACCATTGCATGACACCGCTCCGCCGCAAACCGCAGCACAGCACATCACACCACGACACGCCACTCCACGCCACCGCAACACCACAACACGACCCAGCAACAACACCACGCCACACTACACCACACTACACCACGCAGCACCGCATCACGCCACCCGGCTCCTGCTCGTGGAGGGCTGTTGGGAGCCGGCGCGCGCAGGGCCGCTGTGCCGGTGTGCCATGCACCAGACGGGAACTCTTGGAGACGGCTCCTGGGAGTACGACCGGACTGACGACCAGTTCCTGAGTATTGGACGATATTGGACGCAATGACTCGCACTGGAGGTGTCGGAGGATGAACTTTCCCTGAGCGCTGATAAACCGTAGATCATGCTTCAACGATGTTCCCATTTCAAGCTTGAGCATGAAGTTAGCTTGCAGCAAGTCTCACATGAGTGCCTGACAGGTAATACGCCCGCCAAGCCTCCATTCCCGAACACAACTCACACATCCGCCCGCCCACCATCCACTAGACTGTTCGTGCCTTTGCTCGCCGCATACCCAATATTCACACTGTGGGGTTATCCGGTCCTAGACTTGTTTTTTTTTTTTTTTTGCGCTGGTT